AAGCTGCCAAGTGGCGGCGGTCGGGACAAATCCAGCCCTTAAGCCTTCTCGTTAGGCCTAATCCACATGAAACAAGAGGCTGCCCGAGAAAACGAGTCCCGCTCGCCGTCGCTATAAAACTCCGTTCCAGACCTCCCGGGGTCATAAAGTTTCCTTCCAGAAGGTACCGGAGTTCTGGCAGGGTGGAGGACGTGCTGCAAAGGATTCTGGGAGCGTTACCTCATACTGCAAATCTGGTGACATCAGATCACGTCCTCATAGAAACTATCGTTCCCACCGGCCCTGCAACCCGCAAGGAGCTATAAAAACCGAGGCTGGGAATCATCGGAGGCTCCGCACATTGCAGTCAGACCAGAGTCACAAGATGGCCGCCTCCGATTTACAATTGAAATGGGGAGGAGGAAGCATTTCCTCAGTCTCCCCTTCGCCAGTGATCAATCTGCAGCAGGCATGAGAAAGCATCTCCTCAGTCTCCCCCCCCCCAGTGATCAGTCTCCTGCATGCAGAAGGGAGCATTTCCTCAGTCTCCCCTTCGCCAGTGATCAGTCTGCAGCAGGCAGGAGGAAGCATCTCCTCAGTCTCCCCTCCCCCAGTCATCAGTCTGCTGCATTTGGTCCACTTTAAATTTAAATATTGAACATTAAAACATGGCGGGCTCCACCTCCCCTGCGGCTCTCATCTCGCTCCAGTAACAGAGGTCTCCACGCACAGCTTCCACCTCACAATGCTCCAGCATTTGCTCTGAGGACTAACAGGACGCGTCCAGGCTCAATGTGTCACTTCACGTCTTCCCGCACCTCGGGGATGAATGGCGTCCCGCGGCTTGCAGCCGGTTTGCCGAGGAAGCTCATTAACCTTCATGGATGTGACTTCCTGACTCATACTACTTCACAGCCCAACTCCAGGGGCCAACCTTCAAGGGCCCGGGCGAGGGACGACGGCCTTCCAGAGCCTCGCAGGGCCTGAACGGACGGGTCACATGCAGGCGAGCAACTTGTGAACCGGCAAATCGAATTAGGCAGCGAAGGAAAATAATCCGAAACATTTCAAAGAGAGGGGGGAAAAAAAAATCACAAGAAACATGTGAGAGGGGAAAGAAAAGTCCTTGGTGATGTCATTGTGATGGCTTCCGTCTACCAGGACTTGATTTAAAGTGTTTGTAACATTCTAAGAAAGTCCCCTGAACACGGAGAACGCGCACGGACCATCGCACACTGCTGTACCGCACGATAATGGTTGCAGTCAGGTATTAGAAAAGCAGCTGAAATAACAAAGGACTGAAATTCGCCGGCGCTGCCCTCAGCTCCAGATGTTCCTCATTGTGATTTTTTTTTTTGCCATTTCATAGCGGAATCTTCGTCTAATCTGGTTTTACTCCATTTTTCCAAAGGCGGTTGTTTTATGAAGTGATTTTGCACCTCGGGTAACGAATATATTTAAAGGCGCGATCCCTTTATAACATTGCCGCCTGTAACATTTGCAGCGCTCTGTTTTCTTAAAGTGGACCGAGCATCAGATATAGTATAAGGCCTCATTCACACTGTACTCGGCCGGCACGTACAGCTCTGTGCTGCGTGCACGGCCGTATCGGGCAGCTCCCGGGAAGGACAGGTGCTGCGTGTGATTAGTACACAGCCCCCGTCCTTCTCTATGGGGCTACACGGCTGTACGCCGCCCTACGCTCACCTCAAGTGTAGGTCCGTAGGGGTGCGTGTTTCCTCGCTCGGACGCAGACAGGATCCATCCTGTCAGCGTACGAGTACGCTCACCCGCACAGACGTGCAGGGCAAGTGAGCGTAGGGCGGCATATGGCAGTGTAGTCCCATAGAGAAGGACAGGGGCTGCGTACTAATCACACGCAGCATCTGTCCTTCCTGGGAGCTTCCCGATACGGCCGTGCACGCAGCTCAGAGCTGTACAAGGCCGGCCGATTCCAGTGTTAATGAGGCCTTATATGCAAAACGCAGCACAATGAGTAATGTGTACGTGTATTACCTCTCACCAAGATAACACGACTCCCCCCTCAAAATGCCTTCATCTGCTTCTCTATCCAGAAGGATGGTGCCATCTTTGTTCAGCTATTATCTGGGGTCACCATCGACTTCCTGGACCAGGGGTGTGCAGCTCCGGCCCTCCAGCTGTTGTGGAACTACCTGTCACATTAGGCATTGCAAGACTGATGGTTAAAGGCATGTTGGGATTTGTAGTTAAAGCATAGCTGGAGGGCGGAGTTGCCCACCACTGTCCGGGACTGAGACGGCGGATCAGAGATGTCTCACACAGATCAGCCCCTGCTGCAGTCTCTCACCTAGTGACTTGCTACAAAGTTACAATGTTGCAATCCGATCACTGGGGGAGGGGACACTGAGGAAATGCTTCTTCCTGCCTGCAGCAGACTGATCATTGGGGGAGGGGACACTGAGGAAATGCTTCTTCCTGCGTGCAGCAGACTGATCACTATATATAGGAGCCACGTACATTGGCCTAGGAAAAGTAAGGAGGACAGAAGATAATCAAACCACTCCCCCTTCAGTGATGACAAGGGTCATGTGACCAGACATCACATGCGACCCTGAGCCCTGGCGACCCAATCTCAGCATCTGCTTAAGTTTTCAAACACCAAAAAAATGGTATCCAGCATCCGACAGGTTGCTATGGCAACAACTCCATCTTATTGGCAGCCATTCTCACACCTCCCACTCGTCAGCCACGGTCAGGAAATCAGGTACGATATCCATTTCCCCGGCTCATCCAGGGAACTGTTTCACTTGGTGTCCATCCAATAATCTGTCCGGGGCGCAGGAAGGGAATCATCTATTTTGGGATTTCTGTAGAGCTGCGCTGTCAGACCGATCTCCGACTTATTACAAATCCAGACTGCGACTTTCCTACCTTAATATAACAAGTGACGCCATGTGCACAGGATCTAGAGGGGTCTATGGCGACTTGCTGGGCTGCTGCACCCGGTGGGGAGGGCTACAAATCCCAGGAAGCCCCGAAAGAAGAGTTCAGCGACCAAAATAACTCCACCAACTGGAGGGTGCCATTTCTCCCCTCTACTTCTGAAAATACAAGCTACCTCGCCATCATACTAATCCTCTGTCTTCGATACTTCAATAGGCCTAAAGTTGGCTATATACGGCTCACATTTTGGCCAATGCAGCCAACAAAGGACTTTGCGTGTATGGCAGATAAGGACTTTCATCGGACTTTACTGCTCCCTGTACTTGTTCCGGGTCAGTGTCTCAAAAAAAAAAAAAGTTAAATCCAAAGGATTAGAATGACGATCAAGCAACTAGAATTTTTAAAAAGGGTTCAGCAATGGATGTCTGCATATGTCTGCTGTGACAGATTGCCTTAACAATGTATGAGGAGGTCTGTTGTGGCTCACCTCTCCTCTGGGGATTCCAGTTCGCTGGCTGTGATGCTGATGCTCTGGCTTCAATGCTTACACACACACACACACACACTTCTGACACTTATATGACATTCATTTACAGCATGCTTGTTCCAGGTCTGTGATGCCAATGCACTGAAGCCAGACACAAGTGCCCCAGCAATGGCAGTCCCCATGCTTTACTTATGACACAGTCACTTGTCATCACTGGGTCTCTGCCATTCTCTATGCAGTTAAGTGGGGCTGGCAGGGTGCTGTACACAGCTTCCTGAAAACATCCCAGCTCCCTACCTCAGTACTCCCCTCCAGAGCCCTCAGCCGTAATGCAAGCAGCAAGCAGATGCAAATAGTTAAAGGAGAACAATGGTGTTAGGGCTTTTCCCCATAGTTCTCCTTAGGGTAACGGGAGGACACAAACTAGCGTCCTCCCGTCACCCTAGGCTCAGTATAACGCGAGCTGTAGCTCGCAGTATACTGAGACGCCGCAGTATACCGCGAGCTTCTGCTCGCGGTATACTGAGACGCCGCAGCTGAAGCGGATCCCGACAATTATGCCGGGATCCGCCCAGCTGCGTTACTGACAGCTGGCTCTGCCTATCTAGAGGCAGAGCCAGCTGTACCCGCCCCCTCCCCCGTCCGTTCCGCCAGTCAGCGCTGTCGGATCGGAGCAGGGAGGGGGGAATCCAGCAGAGAGCCGTGACAGGATCGAGAAGTGAGCGAACGCCGGTATGTGTTCGCTCACCTCCCGATCTACTGAGCCGACCTGTGACAGTCTCATTGTCACAGGTCGGCTAGAACTATAAGGTGAGTGAAAAGCACTCACCTCATAGTTCTCCTTTAAATGCCTACATGGGTTCTAGGTAATGCCCACATGTGATGCTGAGCCTCCACGACTGAAAGAACTGAAATCCAATGAATGAAAGGAGCGGGCCAGAGACAGTGAAGCAGTAAAAAGGTCAGTGGCGTCACAAGGATGGTGCGGAGAGTGCAGCCCGCACCCCCTAAGTCAGGCCCTTGGGTCATGGACCGATGGTGGCACAGACAGAGGGGGGGGGGACCCGGTGGCATACCTGATCCTTTATAGTCAAAATCCCCGCCTCTCTTTGCCCGCGTCCATTGCTAAGATGCTAAGATGACCACCAGAAAAGTACATCACCGTGCATGCGTGACATTACACCACGGATGTCATAACACATGCATGCAACCGCTGAAAGAGCTAGATGATGCTGGCTGTCCTGAATGCTACAGCTTCTAATGTACATAGTGAGAAGCTCACACTGTGCAGTGAAATCAGAGTAACCAATCACAGTCCAGGAGAGGAGCCGGTACAACTGAAGAGAAGGCCGGATTTGGGTTGAAGATGACAAACCCCTGAGGGTGACCAGTAGACCGTAAGCTCCTTTGGAGCCAAAAACTGCTATAAACGATTGGTTTCCTCTGTAAAGCTCTACAGTATATGTTGGCGCTATAGCGATGATCCAAGTAATAGACGCTAAAAAAGAAAATAACAGAAACATTGGGACTGATCGGAGTCTGCGGCCCCCCGCTACAAAGAGGCCTGGACAGGTTCCAGCGGCCGGCTAGAGTTGCACATTAGCATTACAGATAAACAGGAATGTGGACCGTCGCCCTGACCAATAAAGGATTCATCAGGCTGCACATGACGGGGGAGAACCGTATCTTCCTGCCAGGCAACTATCAAACCTCACTCACACAGGGCTGCAGACAACAGGAGGTGTCGATAAAGCGATTGGGGGAGCAGGACGCGGCTGGACGTTCTCAGGATCTTGTCGTGTCACAGGCTGAATTCATTATCATCATCCTGCGGATGGATGAAGAATAGGCAGAGCACTGTGTTCATCTACCACCGTCACATTATATTCTTCATTGAAATACACTATGTTGCCAAAAGTATTGGGACGCCCCTCCAAATCATTGGATTCAGGTGTTCCGTGAAATGTCCTTGTTACTAAATATTCCGCGGACACCTGTTAGTGGGATTATAACAAAGTGGAAGCAACTGGGAACAACAGCAGCTCAGCCAGGAAGTGGTCGGCCACGTAAAATGACAGAGCGGGGTCAGCGCATGCTGAAGCGCACAGTGCGCAGAAGTCGCCAACTGTCTGCAGAGTCAGTAGCTACAGACCTCCAAACTTGGTGTGGCCTTCAGATTGGCACAACAACAGTGCGTAGAGAGCTTCATGGAATGGGTTTCCATGGCCGAGCAGCTGCATCCAAGCCTTACATCACCGAGTGCAATGCAAAGCGTGGGATGCCGTGGTGTAAAGCGCGCCGCCACTGGACTCTAGAGAAGTGGAGACGTGTTCTCTGGAGGGACGAATCACGCTTCTCTGTCTGGCAATCCGATGGACGTGTCTGGGTTTGGCGGTTGCCAGGAGAACGGTACTTGCCTGACTGCATTGTGCCAAGTGTAAAGTTTGGTGGAGGGGGGATTATGGTGTGGGGTTGTTTTTCAGGGGTTGGGCTTGGCCCCTTAGTTCCAGTGAAGGGAACTCTTAAGGCATCAGCATACCAAGACATTTTGGACAATTTCATGCTCCCAACTTTGTGGGAACAGTTTGGGGATGGCCCCTTCCTGTTCCAACATGACTGCGCACCAGTTGCCAAAGCAAGGTCCATAAAAGACATGGATGGGGGAGTTTGGGGTGGAGGAACTTGACTGGTCTGCACAGAGTCCTGACCTCAACCCCATAGAACACCTTTGGGATGAATTAGAGCGGAGACTGCGAGCCCGGCTTTCTCGTCCAACATCAGTACCTGAACTCACAAATGGTCCAACATTCCCATAGACACACTCCTAAACCTTGTGGACGCCTTCCCAGAAGAGTTGAAGCTGTTATAGCGGCAAAGGGCGGAGCCAACCCAATACTGAACCCTACGGACTGAGACTGGGATGCCATTAAAGTTCATGTGCGTGTAAAGGCGTCCCAATACTTTTGGCAATATAGTGTATATTCCTCAATAGACACAAAATATATTAATCAACTTTGTGACTTGACTTTGTGAGTTGTTACATTGTAAATTAGCAGCGGCATCATCACCGGGCTGTATATAGCCTGTGTAGCGCACATAATATGCGATGGTGTGAATGGGGCCCCCAGAAGCCCGTCGCTTTGGAAAATCCGGTCCTTCTCTGGAAATGTTGTTTGGGATCAGACAGGAGCAGACAACTAATACTTGATCAATCAACAATAGTTGTGGGAAGGCGGCCCCTCCGGAGGCGGGATGGCGGGTGGCTGAGTCTCATCACACAGAGTGACAGTGACTGGGTGACCTGTGTGTAGAGGTACATCATGCCTCCAGCCTAATCACTCACTCAATTATATTCCCACTCCGCTGACCTTTCACCCCGCAACCATAGCAAAAGGAAACCCTGAGGATTTTACAGGGTAATAAAGAGAGAGGCCTCTTCAGCTCATACTCCTCTGTGACCCCTGCACACATCCCAACTTGACTCCCGAGAGGGGAATGAAAGAATCTGGAGACATCCAGAACAACAAGTCCATTAATTATGTCCTTCAGGGCTGCCACATCCTAGGGAGGATGACCATACGGCCAGACATAACACCGCAGGCTGGACCATGATCTGAGGTGCTCAGTGATTGCCATTCAGAAATGCCAAGGCGAGAGCCGTTACACTAATATGTGTATGACCATCCGGAGCCATGCGGGAATGGGGAATTTGGTGGGACCCATGCAGAGTTCCTAATAAAGGGAACCTCAGAGGGCAGAATATTTCTATTCTCATAGGATCCTTTTCACATTATTTCCAGGGGCACTTTATTGCTGAAGTGATGTCACATTGTGTCATTTGGAGGAGAACTCAGCACAATACACAAATGTTTCTCAATTTGTGATATTACAAACCTCAGTATAAGATATGATTCTTCCAAGAACACATTACTAAGAGCCTACACGGATGGATAGATAGAGAGCGGGAGAGAGCGAGAGAAGGAGAGAGATGGAGAGAGAGAGAGAGAGAGAGAGCGCACAAGAGAGTGAGATATGGAGAGAGAGAGAAAGATGGGGGAGAGAGATGGAGAGAGAGAGATGGAGAGAGAACACGCAAGAGCGAGAGATGGAGACAGGGAGAGAGATGGGAGTGAGAGCATGAGAGAGCGAGGGAGGGAGAGAGACCGAGAGAGGGAGAGAGAGATAGACAGAGAGGAGGGGGGGGAGAGAGACAGAGACAAACAAAGAGGCAGAGAGAAAGGAGCAGGGCAGAGAAGGCTCAATCAATAGATAAAGAGACATATAGATAGGAGGTAGAGCCCTTCAATCAACATACTGAACTATAGTATAATGAAACAATTCAGTATCAGAGCTCTCTCGGTCATCTAGGTAACAAACACCCTGGAAGGATCCAAACAGGAAATTGTTTTCTCCGCATCTCTAGACCCAAATAACATAACTAAAATATGAATATGGCTCTGTGGTATGGCGAAGAGTAATATTCACTGCAATAACCCGAAGCAGCCAATCAGCAATCACTCTTCACTGGTATGAATATTCGAATACAACAAGAGAAGAAATCTCATTGGGTGCTATGACCCAAGGTGACCACACACAATACAAGCGGGTTGTAGTGGATAGTAGACTTTTGAGCCTCTCTGATTGGATACAAATTGAATGATTGATTAGGTGAGCCATCACACTACAAAGTTTTGGTAAATCGATTTGGCAGAGATACAATCAATCAGGTTACAATGTGGTTGTTCAGCTTTATTCCTCTTGTTTGTTGTCTTGAAAAATAACAATGTAAAAAGCCCGTTTTGTAGAATAGAATCCGGGCAGTGGACATTATTTATAGAAAAGTGTAAACAGATGTGAGGAATGAAAATCAGAGCCGTCTGATACACACCCTGTCATTACGATGTGCACTGCCTGCTGAATAGGGTTGCCACCCGTACGGGAATGACCCGGACAGTCCGGGTTTGTAATCCTGTGCCCGGGTACAGCCCTTTCGCAGACCCGGGCACGGGATTCAAACTGCAGGCTTGCTCACCTGACAGCTGGCGGTGAGCGGCCGGCGATGAGATGTCAGTCAGCGGCGGCCGGCGATGAGATGTCAGTCAGCGGCGGCGGGCGATAAGATGAAGCGTCTCGGACCTCACTGGAGAGGACAGGGATAATAGATGGCAATGGCAGTTGCAGCGTTATAAGACACGAAGGTACAAATATTTAGCCTCCAGTCACACAGGATCGGTGGTGTGCGCGTATTCGGCCGTACGAGCCTCTGCACTTTAATATGCATTGTTCAGACTTTTGCAACGGCCGTGCCTTACGAAACCACGAGGCCCGCAAAATAGTGAAAGCGCATTTTTTTGGACGGATTCCGCATGTTCGCGGATATAGTAATAGCAGCAAACGAGCGGAATCCGTGCAGTTTAAAGAATTTGGGGTGGGAAACGCAAACGCTATATTTGAATGGAGCCTAAGAAAGGTAACTTTTTGGAAAAACTTGCCCCAATTCTTTTTGTTCCAGGTATCTGGGGAGCACCTGACACAGGAGAGAGATGCCCAAACTGGCCCACCCCAGGCTCCTTACTCTCAAATACAGAATGTCTGATGCAGCCTGTTCCAATCAGAGTGCCTTGTGGCTTCCTCAAGGGTGCCTCGAAACGTTCACCTCCATCCAGGTCTGCTCCACCTTCCACTCTCTGCCATACTGGCACAGCTGTGACTCCTGATGTGGTGGTAGAACCCTTATGTGAATGGGGGACTTTGATATGGAAGGGGGGGGTGGGACTCTGATATGAAGGAAAGGGACCCTTATAAATGTGAAAGGAGGGGGCTCCTAATGTAAAGGGAAACTCTGATATGAAAGGGGGGAGGCTGCTCTGATGTTAAGGGGCTCCAGATTTGAAGGAGGGACTCTAATATGAAGGGATAAGGGTCTGGTATGGATTTTGGATACGTCACATGTAATTTTTTTACATTTTAGACTGGGTTGCCTCGAGATTTTGGATACTTTTAAAGGGTTTGAAAAGAGGTAGAGAAATGCTGTTCTAATATATCACAGCCACTCAGCTCCAACCTTGAGAAGTGTTACATTGTAAATTCATTTTTAGTTTACCGATACATTTTATTGTCTTTAGCGGACTATACACATCTGCATTTTTCTGCACCACACCTCCCATATGCATTGTAGTGTGAACCGGACACATAGAAAACAATTGTTTCCTGTGAGCCCTTGTGGTGACTGGCGTTCCTCCAATGTGAAAAAATACTAGACTGGCGTGAAAGAGCCTTTCAAATTTCAGCCAATTCTTGTAAATCGGCCGAAATTCTAAGATTGTATGGACAGCTTTACACTCCCAAGGTTTGATACAGCTCAGGTCTTTTGCAAATGTTATCTACACAACCAGCCAATAAACATGGATCACTGAACTCCATATTACCTGCAGAGAAGTTCATTAAATTGTCTTCAGAGTGACACTGAAAAGTTTTGTCACAAATGTCTGCTGACCCCTCGGAGCCTCGGGCAATGGTGTGAGCAACACAAAGACCCGAAATGACGAAGGACGGAGGAGCAAGTCACAAGGAAGACATGGAATATTTCCGAATATCAACCCGGAATACCGGACCCTACAGCTGGAGACTTTACGA